GCCATGGCTCACGGGCCCAGCCGCTCCGTGGCATGTGGGATCTTCCTGGATCGGGGCACGAACCCGTATCCCCTGCCTCGGCAGGCGGACTCTGAACCACTGCGCCACCAGGGAAACCCCGTTCTTTTTCTTGTTTCTGTGTATCGCTTTGATTCATATTCATCTGGATTGATGGATTATAGGTTTGCTGTGGTCTTGGAACCTGGAATATCAAACTGGAAGTGAAGTGCAGGTTAAAGGTGACCTGGGGTTGGGGGCCCCGTTGGATGCGGAAGGACCTTGACGGCTCCTGGAGCTCCAGGCGCTTTGTCTGAGCGGCTTTGAGTTGGAGAAGGGGCCGAGGTCTCTTAACACAGAGCCACTTCTGAGCTAAACGACCTACGTGCCTCTTGCGGGGCAACTGACAGGGTTAACGACATGACCTTTTAGGCAGTGAGACCTCGAGAGGAGATCCGGGCTTTCCCTTCCTCCCGAGCTGTGCCCGTTGGGATCACCTTGCCCTGGTGTTTCCGAGAAGCCCTGGTTTCTAACTCTCTCTTCTGCATTTCAGGCTAAGTCGTGCGTGTGTCACGTGTGCGGCGTCCACCTGAACCGGCTGCACTCGTGCCTCCACTGCGTCTTCTTTGGCTGTTTCACAAAGAAGCACATTCACGAGCACGCCAAGTCGAAAAGGCACAACCTGGGTAAGACCCCGCGACGCCTCCTGGGCTTTGGGGTCACCTCCCCGGCTCTCGTTCTGTGAATTTGACCTTCCACTCTCTCGGGAGTCCACCTCTGTCTGAAATAGCTTGTGCTCTCCTTGTGGAACTCCAGGGGGAGAGGAAAGAGAGAAACTGAACCCACGAGGGGCACGTGTCCAGCGTGCCTGATGTCACATAAAGTCGTGTAACCCTGAACGATGACTTTCTTTAACGGAACGTCAGAGACTCATCTTTCTCTCTGAAAAGCACGGTTAGGTATTAGATCAGGCAAAAATTTGCACAGGTCTTATTAAATGCAGCTTTGGGTTATTGGTGTCAGCGTGGGGTTGGGGGGTACTGGGTGAATTTAGTGATTTCGGTAATGGGTTTGCAGTGTTGTCAGTGTTTGCAGAGAGGCTGGCGTTGAGGTGAGCTCACGTTTCACATTCAGACAGTAGTGCCTTCCAGAGGTGACGTGAAGCTCAGTTTTGCTCTTGGCTTGGTTTTCTGACCATTGTCACTAAATGTTTCCCTCGTTGAGAATTGTGTTTTCTGTCAAACGATGCTGAGGTTGTTAGGATATCTGTAAGAAAATCACTTTCAGAACGTCCAGACCACAGACCCTTTTCTAGAACATAACTTGGTGTGACCTAGCCTTCCAGTGAAAGATATTCTCAGGCCTTTTAAGTAGTAGGAATGGGCTCGTTCAAACTCGATCATCTCCGGAGGTCGTGCCTCATTTCATTTTGCAGCTGAGAACCTGCAGCCAGTGCTGGGGGTCAGCCTGTCACCAGGAGCTAAGTGGCCTTTTTGGAAGGAGAGCTGGCGGCCCTGGTGGTGCTTCACAGGCTGTGGGTGAGCGGCTGCCCCGCAGGGCGGGCGGGGCTCAGCAATCCCGTCCCCCTCCCCCACCGAGGGACCAGAGGGAAGGTCTGATGGGGCAGGACGGGTGTGGTGGGTTTCTGTGGTGGTGAGTTAATGTAGATCTTTGTGCTTAATACCATCTGATTCTCGGGCCAGACCCGCTTAGGCTCCTCTCACACCGGGGCTGTGGTACGGTGTGGTTGAAAGGGTTATGGAAAATTGGAAACACCTTTGCACTGCAAAGGGCTGAGAATCTTATTGTTATCTAGCATCATCTACAAAAGTCACTCGAGAAATTTGTGTGTTTATTAATTTTATCGACCTGACTGATGAACTCTGCCTCTACTTTGGCTGGAATGAATAAGTTTTAGAAGGTTTTCTTCAAGAGACAAAACCACAAAATGGGAGAGCCCAGGAGTTTATCGCAGGTTGTGTGTGTGAGCGTGTGTGTGCGTGTGTGTTAACAAAGCCAGAGCTTAGCTTTCTGTGTGCAGATGGCAGGGGAGGGCGCGGGAGAGGAGCCCCGGCAGGAAAGCGGATCGCCCGCCCCCGGCCCTGCGTCTCGAGCTGCTCCCCGTTACTCCTAGAGCCCCTCAGAGCGGCGGCTTGACCTTTGAGGGCCAAGGAGCCGTGATTCCTGGGCCAAGTCCTGCCTCTGGGAGCCCCGCAGAATAACACTGGGGCCTGACGTGGATGCTTAGAAGGATTTCTCCCAGGGCTTGGCGGCTTCTAAGCGGAGGGGCGTGAGAGGCCCACGGGGAGTCTCGTCTGAGTATTTGCTTTTTTGCGAGTGTTCAGTTAAAACCAGGACGTCGGTAGCTGTGGGGTCTTTGCTGGCGGCCTGTGGGAGGACGAAGCTTCTGCTCCTCTGTCCGACCTGCCCTGTGACCCTGCCTGGTGTGACGTCCTGACCCGCTGCCGGCAGGTTTGCTGTGCGGGGGACGGTGTTGGGATCCAGGTCACTGAGTAAGATTTGGTTTCGTGCTTCTTAGTTTCATACAGGTTTTTGTTTGATGTCGAGTCACAGGGGCCCGTGGATGTTGCCTGCGTGAGCCACAGAGGCTGTAAAAGGAGTGCTTTTAGCTTTGTGTCTGCCTCTAGGAAGAGTTATTTTAGTTTTCCCAGAGGGTGTGAGGATGTATGTGGGCATGAGAGCAGGTATCGGCTCCCCTCTGAGTGGGTGACGTTTCCCTCCATCTCAAGATCCTCCTGTGGCTGGAGGGAGGGGGACCCGCGCCTGCCTGGTGCCTGTCGGCTGGGGGTTCCCGGGTGAGTGGGGTGATGGCCTCCTCTCTTACTGGGAGTGTCTCGCCCGCATCCAGGCAGCTGGGTTCCTGGGCAGCTGGCCCTTTGTTTCCATGGGTTCTGCACCTGCAGATCCAGCCAACCTCAGATCGAAAAACAAATTCCAGAAAGTTCCAAAAAGCAAAACTTGAATTTGTCTGGTCCAGGCAGCTAGTTATATGGCATTCATGTTGTATTCCGTAAAGCAACCTGGAGGGGATTTAAAGTGTGTAGAGGATGTAGGTTATATGCAGATATCACGCCATTTTCTACAAGGGGCTTGAGCATCCTTGGATCCTGGTGTCCACGGGGGTTCTGGAACCAGCCCCACCTTGGGTACCACGGGACCACTGACTGTCTGCTCAGCCTTTTGTCCTGATGCAGTCAAGCCTTTGTCCTTGGTTATCTTGACTGTGAAATAATTTTCTGGAGGAACTACCTTGACTGTAGGTGTGGCATTGGGTTTTTGAATTCCATATTGAGATGAAATTCAGAGAACACACAATTAACCATTTCAACCAGTATATTTCAGTGCATTTAGTCACTTGCCATGTGGTGTGTGGAAATACCATCTCTCTTTTTTTTCAAAACTTTTTCGTCTCCTCGAAGAATACATGTCTCTGTTACGTAATCCCCTCCGGGCCCTGGCATCCGCTGATCTGTCTTCAGTTGTGGATTTGCCTGTCTTGAATATTTCATATAAAAGGAATCATACAACACACGGCCTTTCGTGTCTGTTTCTATCTCTCGGCAGGTGTTCAAGGTTCATGAGTGTCAGTTCATTTCTTTGTGGTTGAATAGCATTCCTTTGCGTTGATATTCCAGAGTTTGTTTATCCAGTCATCCACTGATAGACATTTGGGTTCCCACCTTTGGCTTTTATGAATAATGCTGCTGTAAACATGCATGTGTGAGTTTCTTTGTGGACATACGTTTTCATTTCTTTTGGATACCAGCAGACCTTGGAGATACTGTGGGTTCGGTTCCAGACCACCTCAATAAAGCAGATATCTCAATAAAGCGAGGCACACACATTTTTTGGTTTCCCACTGAATATAAAAATAATGTTTACAGTGTACCGTAGTTTAAGTGTGCAATAACAGCATTTCTCTTTGGTTGTTCATGCTTTTTTGGTGTCAGACTAAGAATCCATCGCCAAACCTGAGGTCGTGACGCTTACCTGTTTGTGTCTGAGTTTTTATACTTTTAGCTGTGATGTAGGTCGCTGACCATGTGGAGTGAAGTTTTGTGTGGGGCTGGGGTGAGGCACGCCGCCTCCTCGTTTCATCCCGGGGCCCCAGCGCCCGCTGTCGGCCCCCGCCCCTCCTGGCGGTCCCAACCCCACGCAGCGGGTGGGAGGCAGGCCCGTCTGGGGACATGGGGCCTCCCTCTGCCCTTGCCGTGCGCCTGGCCTGTTTCTCGCTGAACCCCACTGCTTCCCTGAAAGTGTCCCTCCTCCCCACCGTAAGCCCGCCTCTGACAGCTTGCTCTGGTCCCTGGGGCAGGAGTGACGCTGCTCAGGAGTGGGCAGAACGCAGGGCGGCTGGCCCTGGCCTCCAGAACAGCCTCGACGTGGACTTGCAGAGACTTGGTTGGAATTTTGTAGGTTTTTAGGAAGGGGCAGGGGTAGGCCTGGGGTTCTCTGAAATTGCTACTTTGAGTCTTGATAGATCTGCTTTAGATCCACCACAGTATCATTGACTGTGTGTCTTTGTACCTGAAGACATGAAATATGGGGGCTTCCCTGGTGGCACAGTGGTTAAGAATCCGCCTGCCAATGCAGGGGACACAGGTTCGAGCCCTGGTCCGGGAAGATCCCACATGCCACGGAGCAACTAAGCCCGCAGCTAAGCCCGTGCGCCACAACTACTGAGCCTGTGCTCTAGAGCCCGTGAGCCACAACTACTGAGCCCGCGTGCTGCAACTAATGAAGCCCAAGTGTGTAGAGCCCGTGCTCCGCAACGAGAGAAGCCACCGCAACGAGAAGCCTGTGCACGGCAACGAGAAGCCTGTGCACGGCAACGAAGAGTAGCCCCCGCTCACCGCAACTAGAGAAAGCCTGCGCACAGCAACAAAGACCCAACACAGCCAAAAAATAATAATAATTTAAAAAAAAAGACATGAAATGTGATAAAAGCTGTGATTTGTTAAGACGTTACCATTTACCAGGAGGTGCGTGCTGCTTAGTTGTTTATCTGAACTTAGTGACCATGCAGACCTGTGTCAGTGCTGTTGCTGTCCCTGTTATACCACAGGGGACGTGGGTGAGCTCAGAGGTTCTCAGAGGTGCGCAGCCGGCGGGTGGCGGGGCCGGGTTTGTGCTCCGAGCTGCGTCCCGTCGCCTGGCAGATGTCTGCTGTCCCTTGGTGAGTCTGAGTCAAGGGGATTCTCTCTTTTTTTTTGGAATTTTATTTTATTTTTTATATAGCAGGTTCTTAGTAGTTACCTGTTTTGTACATACTAGTGTGAATACGTCAATCCCAATCTCCCAGTTCATCCCCCCGCCCCCTGCCACTTTCCCGCCTTGGTGTCCATACGTTTGTTCTCTATATCTGTGTCTCTATTTCTGCCTTGCAAACAGGTTCATCTGAGCCATTTTTCTAGAGTTTACACATATACGTGTTAATATACAGTACTTGTTTTTCTCTTTCAGACTTCACTCTGTATGACAGTCTCTGGGTCCACCCATGTCTCTACAAATGACCCAGGCTTGTTTCTTTTCATGGCTGAGTAATATTCCATTGTATACATGTGCCGCATCCTCTTTATCCGTTTGTCTGTTGATGGGCCTTTAGGTTGCTTCCATGTCCTGGCTGTTGTAAACAGTGCTGCAGTGAACATTGGGGTGCATTTGTCCATAGTTCAACCTTTTTTTTTTTTTTTTTTAAATAAATTTATTTATTTTTGGCTGCATTGGGTCTTTGTTGCTGCATGCTGGTTTTCTCTAGTTGTGGCAAGTGGGGCTACTCTTCGTTGTGGTATGCAGGCTTCTCATTTCTCATTGCAGTGGCTTCTCTTGTTGCGGAGCACGGGCTCAGGCGTGAGGGCTTCAGTAGTTGTGGCACGTGGGCTCAGTAGTTGTGGCGCACGGGCTTAGTTGCTCCATGGCATGTGGGATCTTCCCGGACCAGGGCTCGAACCTGTGTCCCCTGCATTGGCAGGAGGATTCTTCACCACTGCGCCAAAAGGGAAGTCCCCTAGTTCAACCATTTTGAACTGTGGTTTTCTCTGGGTATATGCCCAGTAGTGGGATTGCTGGGTCATGTGGTAGTTCTATTTTTAGTTTTTTAAGGCACCTCCATACTGTTCTGCATGGTGGCTGTGTCAGTTTACATTCCCACCAACAGTGCGAGAGTGTTCCCTTTTCTCCACCCCCTCTCCAGCATTTGTTGTTTGTAGGTTTTCTGATGATGCCCATTCTGACTGGCGGGAGGTGATACCTCATTGTAGTTTTTTTGTTTTTTGTTTTTTTTTTTGCCATACGCAGGCCTCTCACTGTTGTGGCCTCTCCTGTTGCGGAGCACAGGCTCCAGACGCGCAGGCTCAGCGGCCATGGCTCACGGGCCCAGCTGCTCCGCGGCACGAACCCGTGTCCCCTGCATCGGGCGGACTCTCCACTGCGCCACCAGGGAAGCCCCTCATTGTAGTTTTGATTTGCATTTCTCTAATAATTAGTGATGTTGAGCAGGTTTTCATGTGCGTCTTGGCCATCTGTATGTCTTCTTGGAAGAAATGTCTATTTAGGTCTTCTGCCCATTTTTGGATTGGGTTGTTTGTTTTTTTAATATTGAGCTGCATGAACTGTTTATGTATTTTGGAGGTTAATCCTTTGTCCGTTGATTCGTTTGCAAATATTTTCACCCATTCTGAGGGTAAGGGGAATTCTTTTTAATTGTTGAATTGAGCGAGTTCCTTCCAGATGCTTCGAGGACTTTTCTCTTATTATCTTCGTGAGCAAGTAACTGAGGGCTGGGTTTCTTGCCTGTTTTCGTGGAGGATGCAGTTTAGAAAGTGCAGGATCCGCTCACCGGGAGCTCTGGGCACGCCCTCCAGGCTGTCTGCTTGGGGCCGTGCTGCCCATCCGGACCCCATGAGTCCTTGTGGGCTGATATGAATGCGAGTTCCCCTTGTTTCAGAGGATAGGCGGAGGGTCTTGGTACCTGGGGGTCGGGTCCTTCGTAAAATATGGTCGTGGCACCTCTTTCTCCCTCAGGTTCCTCAGCCCTTGGTGGGAGCTTCCAAAAAAAATTCACGTGCCTCATCTGCTTAGGATACACCATCTGAAGTGGGGGGACAACCTTTTGTAATAATGGGATTCTCTGCTTTGAGAAATGGTGCAGTGAAATGCCTAAAAAACTTGCTTGTTTAATTTGTGTCCTGAAGCATTACCTTTCGACTTTTAATTAAATTTTGTCTCTTCCCTCTTTTCTCTTTTCAGCCATAGAGCTTATGTATGGAGGTATCTACTGCTTTTTGTGTCAGGACTACATTTATGACAAAGACATAGAAATCATTGCCAAAGAGGAACAGCGGAAAGCTTGGAAAATGCAAGGTTTGGTTTTCCTGAGATCTGTATGCCTGCTTGTGTCTTAGCCCTGCGTTCCCTGCCCCCTTGTCTGTCAGGGCGTGGCGGGGGTGGGGAGGGAGGGGAGTGGTTCTGTTGAGGGAGAGGAGCCCCTACAGCTCCTGCAGGTTCACGGGGGGCCAGGGGAGGCGGGCGCAGTGCCCACAGGCCTGCGGCTGCTGTGAGGGCTTAGCCGGGGTTGAGAGAGACGCCCCCAGCCTACCCTCTCCCGTCGACGGGCATTTTTACAGACACGGGGCTGAACCAGGCACAGTGTCCGCAGGGCCCTGGCCCGTCTGGTGGACGAGGGATTTTGTGCTCCCACGTCCCTGGTAGCTGCCCAGAAAGCATCTCCTCAGTAACTGCAGGATGTGTATGCTGATTCCTTCCAGGAGGGTAGACTATTTTCTCATTAAATTACTGTTGAATGTCTTTTAAAACTCTTAACTGGGAAAAAAAAACCCTCTTAACTGGTTAGGTTATGCTAAATCTGTGTCAGCACAGAATTAAACTTTCCAGATGAAAAAATGCAACAATCTACCTCTGAGGCCCCTTAGTTCAGGAGTGCGCCCTCCTTCCTTGCGATGCCTCTGTAGCCGTAAAGGGAGAACTCCAGGCTTTCCTTCTTGTGTAGGAACAACCCAGCTCTTCCCTGATGAGTGTTTCTCTCCCATGAGTCTCCTTTACTTGCACAGAACCCTTCACACCTGGCACTTCTGGTCACCAAGTGTTTTTTTTGGGGGGGTCAGTTCCCTGCCAAGAAATTCCCTGTGGCGCTGGCTGGGTATCCTACGGATCAACTCAGTTCTGACACAGTCAGCCTGGAGATGTCAGGCCCCACGGGACCCCCTCCCCAACTTCAGATGCTGGAGTCTCAAGTCCAGGGTCTCTTCTGTGCTCCTGACCGTCCAGCTGTAGATCGGAGGCTCCCAGGACCCCCCTGGACTGGAGCATTTGCTAGAGCAGCTCACAGAACTCAGAGAGACACTTAGGTTCACCAGGTCAGTAAAGGATGTGACACAGATGAGCAGCCATATGGAGAGAGGCACGGGGCAGGGCTGGGGAGCGTCCCCGTGGAGTTGGGGCACATCACCCACTCGGTGTGGAATGTTCACCCACCTGGTTCGCTCCCCGAACCCCATGCTACTGGGATGTTATGGGGGCTTCTTCCTGGAGGGCTGATGGATCATTAACCCCATTTCCAGCCCCCTCCCCTCTGTGGAGGAGTTGGGGCTGGCCGTGTGGGTGCTGCAGATTCCAAGCTTCCCTGGTCTTCCTGGCGGCCAGTGCCCATTCAGGAGCCCCCGCCTGGAGTCGCCTCATCAGGACAAGAGGTTCCTCTAGTGCCCTTCCCGCTAAGGTGCCCTTATTACCAGGGCGTGGGGCCCATGCGAGGGATGGGGCAGGGGCGGCACGTGTGTCCCACTGACTGCGTGGTGGCCGTGGAGCCGTGCCGTCACTCCCGTCCCTTTGCTGGCACGTAGTCAGCGGCACACGTGAACATCATGCGGCTCTTTTCTGTTTTGTTTAGCTGCCTGTTTTTGGTTTCCCTGATAGTTTTTTCTTTCTTGTTCTCATTTCCAGCACACGGTCATGGGTCACAACAGTAATAGGTGTAGAAAGCCCCACTGGCCTGTGACCGTCTCTCCACAGAGAACACAACCCAGTATGTGGTTTACAATTTTTTGCCCTAATTGTGCTCCTCTGTAGACGTGCCATGTTAGAGAACGGAGCACAAGCCAGGGCTGTCGGTCGTCAGAGCCGATGAGCCCATCTTCTCTGGAGAACAGTCTCTTTAGTCCACTTCGTGTTCTCTTCCACCTCCAAGCTTTAGTAACGTTGCAGGTGAGGCTAAGGCTGAAGACGTTATTTCTTCGTGCAGGACAGTCAAACCGCAGGGCTAAGAAATGCGCGTCCCAGGAGAAAGTAGGATTCTTCCAAAATCATTCCACAGTTCCATCTGTCAGCAGGACGGTGCGTCTTTCAGAGTGTGTTGAGTTCTAGGTGTGTGGAGCCAGTGCCTCTGAGGATTAGGCTGTGCACTGGGGTGCAGGTGGCCCTGCTACCATCCTTGGTTTAAGTCTCTGGTGGGTACGGCCGTCCCTTCATCCCCATTGCCACCCAGCGCGCCCTGTGGGCACTGGTGCCGTGGTCCCTCTGCTCAGGGCGTAATTAAGGCTGAGGAGACCGCTGGTGCTGGGGCTCTCCTGTCCTCTGGGAGTGTGGTTCAGTCACGGCCTGCTCTCTGAAAGAAGCTCCTTCCGTTGTCCGGAACGAGGTCTTAGAAGGACCCTACGTTGCCCGCCTTTGAAGTACGATCTGATAGACCCTGTGCTGCCGCCACACTGGCTCGGAGACACACGACCAGAGTGTAGCTAACGGCACCTTCCACCCGCTTAGGCGTCGGGGAGAAGTTTTCAACGTGGGAGCCGACCAAGCGGGAGCTCGAGCTGCTGAAACACAACCCCAAGCGGCGGAAGATCACGTCCAACTGCACCATAGGTGGGCGGGCGCAGCCCGGTGGAGGCACATTCTCCGGCTTTGCCGAGGCCGCAGGAGGTGCAGCGTGGCTGTCAGCTTGTCGCAGAGGCTCCTCCCTGCCCTGCCCCGTTGTTACTGGGAGCCTTTGGCAGTGAGGGCTGGTGGGGGTGGGCGCGAGCGCGCCTCGGGAGTTTCCCACGGGCGGGGCGCAGACGTTAGAAGTAGGTTCCACCCCACTCTCTGCCTGCCAGGTCTCCGCGGCCTCATCAACCTCGGGAACACGTGCTTCATGAACTGCATCGTGCAGGCGCTGACGCACACGCCGCTGCTGCGTGACTTCTTCCTGTCCGACCGGCACCGCTGCGAGATGCAGAGCCCTGGCTCCTGCCTGGTCTGCGAGATGTCCTCCCTCTTCCAGGAGGTGCGCCTCGGCCGGGAGGGGGCCGGGCCATCACAGGGGGGCTCTGAGCATCCACAGACGTGCCGACTGTGGAATCGCACGTCCTTCCCAAGAGGGATCGTTGGGTGAGGCACTTGGTCATCTGCAGAGGCTCACGGCTGCCTCACACGGGTACACATGGCAGATGCCAGCCCCTCCCCGTCACCTGCCGCTTTCCGGCTTTGTCCACAGGACGGACGGGTCTCCTGTTGCCGGCCCTGCTGACTGTGTGTCACCAGAGGCCTCTGTCTTTGGGGCCCTGCCGTGAACATCAGGTTCTGTCCCGATGGGCTTGCAGGCTGGACCCCCCCTTCTCAGAGTGGGAGTGCAGCCCAGCTGCTCCCTCGGGTGCTGCGGGGAGCCAGGGTTTCTTCAGGCGTCGGCCCCGGGCCGGCAGACTCGGCCGGGTCTGGTTTTGTCAGCCTTTGATCACGTCCTCTCATTTTCCCTGTTGGGCCCCAGCTGCCTGAACCCATCTGGCTGCGGAGCTGGAATGATTCACGGTCTGGCCCTTTTCCAAAGTTTCCCGACTCCTGGCCTGGCTTAGCCAGTCCCCGCATACCTACAGCCTAGCCTGACAGCGGCTCCTGGGGTCACAGGAGTGAGCAAGCTGAATGATATCGTTGGGCCAAAACGGGGACACGGGTGCCTTGGAGAACGGGCTGATGGGGGGGCCTCGCTAGGGCACTGTTGGTGGTGAGTTCATCTCTGTCAGGTTGGTTTTTTAGGTTCAGGTTTATGGGGGTACGCGTTTCACACGGCACAAGTCACCTTTTAGTGTATGTGTGTGTGTTTGACAAAAGTTTGTCGCCGTTCATCGTTTTGGCTTATTTCTAGAAAACAGGTGGTGGGAATGGAGAAAACTATGAGCAGATTCAGAGTCCACGTGAAAACACAGTTTGCCTGAAAAGGAAAGGAAATGACTTGTTTGGGTCGCGCTCGCCAACGGAGGTTCCGGGCGGCTGTCAGACGTGCGCATGTGCGTCTGTGTTCGAGGGAGGCACGTGCTCCTGACGAGGGTGCTTCTCCTTCTCTCCAAGCAGTTCTACTCGGGGCACCGGTCCCCCCACATCCCATACAAGCTGCTGCACCTGGTGTGGACGCACGCCCGGCACCTGGCGGGCTACGAGCAGCAGGACGCGCACGAGTTCCTCATCGCGGCCCTGGACGTCCTGCACCGGCACTGCAAAGGTGAGCACTGCACAGTTGAGCACTGCACAGGTGGGCGCTGCACAGGTGAGCACTGCACAGGTGAGCGCTGCACAGGTGAGTGCTGCACAGGTGAGCATTGCACAGGTGGGCACCGCACAGGTGGGCGCTGCACAGGTGGGCGCTGCAGAGGTGGGCGCTGCACAGGTGAGGGTGGGGGCTGTTTCTCAGGGCCTGTTACTGGGCCTGCCAGGTGGATGGCAGGGAGCTGTTCACAGGGAGGAGCAAGGGGGAGAAACTGAAAGCACATGGCGCGTCCCTCCCGCGCCCCTGTGGAAACCTGGGCCCTCCTGCTGCACCAGCCCTGCCCCTTGGGGGCCCAGGGTCCCAGAGCCGCCGTCTCTTGCCAGGTGATGATAATGGGAAAAAGGCCAACAACCCTAACCACTGCAACTGCATCATAGACCAGATCTTCACAGGGGGGCTGCAGTCCGACGTCACCTGCCAAGTGTGCCAGTAAGTGCGGCCTCTGCAGTCCCGGTGCTGCCGGCCAAGCATCGCGGGGCCTTGTCGCTGTGCTGCCCCCGGGCTGTGGTGCTCACCCGTCCCCTCTGCTTGCTCCTAGTGGGGTCTCCACCACCATCGACCCCTTCTGGGACATCAGCCTGGACCTGCCTGGCTCTTCCACCCCCTTCTGGCCGCTGAGTCCTGGGAGCGAGGGCAGCGTGGTGAACGGAGAGAGCCACGCGTCGGGAACCACGACCCTCACGGACTGCCTGCGGAGGTGAGGCGTCCGCGCCTCCTACCCCTGTTGCCTCCTTAACTCCCGGCAGCCGCAAATCTGTTCTCCATTTCTAGAAATTCCACATTTCAAGAATGTTATGTCCATGGAATCATACATCATGTAACCTTTCAAGGACTGACTTTTTTCACTCATCCCAATTCTCTGGAGATTCATCCAGGTTGTGTGCATCACCAGTTCTTTCCTTTTTATTGCTTACTAGTATTTCGTGGTGTACGCGGCTTAACCTCTCATTCGCTGAAGGACGTCTGCCTTGCTTCCAGGCTTTTTTTTTTGGCCTTTACAGATAAAGCTGCAGTAGCCACTCACGTACAGTTTTTGTGTGAGTGCTGGTTTTCACTTTTCAGGGGCAGATTTGATTGCTGGGTCTTAACAGTAGTTAGAAAATGATTTTGAGTTCACCAGACTTTCATTTTCCAAGAAAGTTGAGGATACATATTTTCTGAAGTGATCGAGAAGAGAAAGGAAGGAATAGCCTTTTCACTGTGAAGTCATAAACGTCCCTAGTTGTGCGCGCGTGTGTTTTTAGGAAGGACGTGAACCCCCTGAAAGTGATAAAATAACTTTCCTCTTTTTCCTCTCTTACCGCTGCCGTCTTTTTTTTCCCCAAACATACACGTTTTCAACGCGTTGCAGGTTTACCAGGCCGGAGCACTTAGGAAGCGGTGCCAAGATCAAGTGTGGCGGTTGCCACAGCTACCAGGAGTCCACGAAGCAGCTCACCATGAAGAAGCTGCCCATCGTGGCCTGTTTCCATCTCAAAGTGAGTCCCCGGAGCGCGCCCGGGGCCCGAGCGCGGGCAGGTGTGCAGAGTCCGTCCGTGCTTGTGGAGCAGAGAGGGTGGTGCCTATAGGTAACCCCGCTCGTGTCTGTGGCCGGGAGCTTTGCCCGTGAATTAAAAAGTAATTGCTTCAGGGCTTCCCTGGCGGCGCAGTAGCTGGGAGTCCGCCTGCCGAGGCAGGGGGCGCGGGTTCGCGCCCCGGTCCGGGAAGATCCCACATGCCGCGGAGCGGCTGGGCCCGTGAGCCATGGCCGCCGAGGCTGGGCGGCCGGC